AAGTGGGGGGCCTGCACTTGGTGGAGGAAACGCCGTAAGTAGGGGAGCTTCTGCTTGACTCCAGGCCCGGGTGGTGTCTTGCTGGATGGACGCTGACCTGCACTTGGCCGTGACGTGGAATTGTGTGGCCTGCCTGTTGGGTGTTGAGCTCTCTCTGCACAGCTCCTGATACTTGGTCACCTCAGCAGTGACTTGGGGGCCTTTTAGGGCAGATGGCCCTTTATTGCCTCGGTTGCTGAGGCATTTCCTGTTTTCCCTCTCGTCTCTGCTGCTCAACAGCTTTCTTTTTTCAGAGCAAAGTATGCTGTGAACGCTATTAAGAAAAAAGTCAACGACAAGAATCCCCACGTGGCTCTGTACGCCCTCGAGGTGAGTGGACCCCTGGGCCCCCACCCCTGACAGTCAGGAGGACGCAGAGACAAGTCCCACGGGCTGGGGTTCAGGAAGCCTTGTCAGTGGGGAGTCCTGACACCCCCACTCCTGCAGGTCATGGAGTCGGTGGTAAAGAACTGTGGCCAGACGGTCCATGACGAGGTGGCCAACAAGCAGACCATGGAGGAGTTGAAGGAGCTGCTGAAGGTGGGCGCGTGCCGGGGGGGGCGCTGCAGGTGGGCACTGCAGGTGGGCGCGTGCCGGGCGGGTGCTGTGGCAGCCCCTCCTCTCTCCCGGGCCGACTAGGCACCCACTGGCCGGCCAGGTAGAGGGCTGAGCCTGGCAGAGGATGCTGAGACGAGCAGTAACACCCGATACACCGTGCGAGGTCGTGCTGGGCCTAGGGAGACACGGGGCAGGACGCAGCCCACCCCCTTGGGGTCAGGACACTGCCTTACGCTCCCTCAGGGATGCAGATGAAGCCTTGGGGCTCAGGGCATAGCTTTCACACACCCTTGGGGGTCAGGACGCAGCCCCCATGCTCCTCCAGGGGTCAGACCGCAGTTTCTACACCCGCTCGAGGGTCAGGACACAGCCTTCACATACCCTCGGGGGTCAGGAGGCAGCCTTCACACCCTTGTGGGTCAGAACGTAGGCCTTACACACCCTCAGGGGTCAGGGTGCAGCCCCCACACCCTCTCAGAGGTCAGACCACAGCTCTCACATATCCTTGGGGGTCAGGACGCAGCCCTCATGCCCCCTCAGGGGTCAGACTGCAGCTTCCACGCCCCTTCGGGGGTCAAGACACAGGCCTCACACACTCTTGTGGGTCAGGATGCAGCCCCCACACACCCTCAGGGGTCTGGACACAGCCCTCACACACCCTTGGGGGTCAGGACACAGCCCTCACACACTTGTGGATCAGGACGCAGCCCTTACACACTCTCAGGGGTCAGGATGCAGCCCCTGCACCCCCTCAGGGGTCAGACTGCAGCCCTGCGCCCCCTCGGGTCAGACTGCAGCCCCCGTGCCCCCTCAGGGGTCAGACCGCAGCTCTTACATACCCTTGGGGGTCAGGACACCGGCCCTGTGCCCCTTCAGGCCCCCCTGCCAGCGCGGCCTCCTCAGAGCTGCGGCCGTCCTGCTCGTTGTCCTGATGCCGTTGTCACCTGTGTGGTGTCACCTGTGGCTCCTGGAGTCCCCATGGCCGTCCACGCCTTTCCTCTTCTCTGCAGAGGCAGGTGGAAGTCAATGTGCGGAACAAGATCCTATATCTGATCCAGGCCTGGGCTCATGCCTTCAGGAATGAGCCCAAGTACAAGGTGGTGCAGGACACCTATCAAATCATGAAGGTGGAGGGTGAGTGGGGGTGATGCCGTGTCCACCCTGGGCAGGACGAGGGAGGCTGGGTGGGTGTAGGTGCAGCCCAGTCATGAGCGTGGGGCGGCCCTGCTGAGTGACCAGTGAGGGGCGGGGGCCCTCAGATAGCTTCGCGCCTTTCTGGACTTCATACTCTCGCTGGGGCGGGCGGGTGGCGATGGGTCACATACAAGGACAAGGTGAGGAGTAGTCGTTTCAGAGTGGTTGGTCCTGGAGGCAGTGAAGCGGTGGGCACAACAAGGCCGGGAGCCTCATGCTGGAGAGTATATGGTGTCCAGACCTGGGGCGTAGGACAAGCCAGCTGCGGGAGGCCTGGGCCTGGTGTGCCACACAGCAGAGTCCCAGCTTCTCTGCCCCGAGGCCAAGTGGATGTGGCCGATGGGACAGAAACGTGCCCACGAGTGAGGAGGCGCCGACTGGGACATGGCCCCACTGAGCGCAGCAGGCAGTCCCTGGGGTGCGGCGCGGGCTCTGTGAAGCCCCCCGTGTGCAGTCCTGGCCAGTGCAGAGCCGGAGAGGTGGGGCCGGTTGGGGAGAGAGGGCACGGCCTGTGGTGCAGGCACCAGTGGTGCTGGGCAGTGGTGTTGGCTCTGGGCACAGGTGGTGAAGGAGTGGAGGGGCTGGGTGCTGCCTCCCGGGCTTCTCTGAGAACAGCTGTGTCCTGCGTGGCCTGGGCTGGGCTCTGAGCGGGAGGCATGGTGTGTGAAGGCAGGCAGTCTCCGGTGGATGGGGAGTGTGCCTTCTGTGAAGCAGGCCATGCCTGGGGGCTGTGGGGTGGTCAGGGAGGAAGAGAGGGGTAAGGGTGGGTGTGCGGGTCTCCCTGAGTCCGTGGCCTGGCCTCGGGTACTCCATCCTGTGGCGTCGGATGCAGACTTCTGTGGACATGAGCTTATGTTTGCTTTTTTGGGTTGAGGTGCATAGCTTTATCAGGTGTTCACGGGGGTCTGTATCTCTGGAGAAGTTTAGGAATCTCTGCTCTTGAGGCTTGTGGAAATAGGTTTAGCTGTAGAGCCGATGCTGGGAGGCCAGGTGGTGGGCAGGCACGGACGGGGCGCAGGGAGTGACATCCCGGGAATACGGGCTGGTGGCTCGTTGGCAAGGCCCAGCCTGCCGTCCACCTGACCCCACGGCAGCTGATGGGGCACCCACGCTGGGTCTGGGGCTGGCAGCCCTGCAGCCCCTTGCTGCTCTAGAGCAGGAGCGGGCCATGTGGCAGGCTGAGCGAGAGGCAGCTCTGGCTCACTGAGCCCATGAGGCCCTCACATGCTGCCCTGAACTCTGCCAGGGTCACCACAGGGGGCCCCCACCCCAGGGTTCGGGTGTCCTCGCCAGCCCACTTAGGCAGGTGGATGCCCAGTGTTAGGAAGGGGTTCCCAGAGGCCTTGCAGCAGAGCCAGGGAGACCCCCAGGACTCCGTGGGCCAGGACGGAGCTCTGAGGTAGCTGCTGCCTCCTCCCTCAGGACACGTCTTCCCGGAGTTCAAGGAGAGCGACGCCATGTTTGCTGCGGAGCGGGTGAGCGCCGTTGGTGGGCGGGCGGGCACTGAGGGCTGGGGGTCGCGCAGCAGGCGGAGGTCGTGGGCGCGGGCTCATTCAGGGGAGTTGGCGTTGAGCTGTCTGGGGTCCGGGACCGGAATCTGCCGTTTCTGAGGGAGCGCTTGCAGCATTCCCCTGTGCAGGCTGAGAGGAGAGCGGTCTGGCGGGGCCTTTGAACTGGGCCAGGTCTGGACAGCTGGCCCCCAAGAAGCGTGCCCTGCAGAGGGGCCCCTCCCCTCTCACCGGGACACCTCGCCCCTGGGCACACGCGGTCCCAGGCTCCCAGAAAAGAGCCGGTACCGGGCAGCCGCCGCTGCCCACCTGGCATGTAAAAGCGGGGGGCTCTGCCCAAAGCCCCCGGGCACTGTCCGAGGGTGGCCGACGCTGACCCTGCCCGCTCCCCAGGCTCCAGACTGGGTGGACGCTGAGGAGTGCCACCGGTGCCGCGTGCAGTTCAGCGTGATGACGCGCAAGGTGAGCGGGCAGGCCGCGCCCTGGGCGGGGGGGGCGACTCCTGTGGCACCAGCCGCCTCTGCCGTGCGCCGGGAGGCCCACCTTGTCAGCCTGGCGGGTCCCTTCCCGTGGGCTGGTGGTGAGGGCAGCAAGATGCACTCACAGCTGGTAGACGCTCACGCTCAGATGCAGGGCTGGAGGCTTGACGGTTAGTGCCGGGCATGGCCCTCAGGCGGGGCCTGGCTTCACGCGGGGTCGGGAACGTTCTCACGTCTGGGGCCCCAGTTCTCGCTGAGGTGTCTCCTGGGTCACGTGACCCACCTGCCCCTTTCTGAGTAGCTGCTGTTCTCTATTAGCTGTGTCACCACGTGCATCTATCCAGCCACTGGACTCGTCTGTGCCCCGATCCCCCGAGCCTGCCTCACTCCCCTCAGAGCACCGCAGGCTGCCCAAGGGGGACTGGGGGTCTGAACAGACACACAGGCTCCCCTGCAAACACGAGAGCTCGTGTGTGGTCGGTCCACGTACATATTCCGTCCTGCTCTGAGATGGAGGACAGGTGTCACACGCACACGCGTGCACGCACACCCACACCCACGTGTGCACCCACACCCACGTGTGCACGCACGCCCACACGCACACGCACACCCACACCCACGTGTGCACCCACACCCACGCGTGCACGCACGCCCACACCCACGTGTGCACCCACACCCACGCGTGCACGCACGCCCACACCCAC